CCACCGTCACTGACCTGCACAGTTAGATTGTAAGAGTCCTTCTTCTCATAGTCCAGTTCCTTCTCCAAACGGAGTGCCCCTGTTAGCTTATCCACATGGAACATCATCTCTTCATCATTAATGAGGCTGTATCTCACTTCTCCCCCAGAGCCAATGTCTGGGTCAAAAGCCTCCAGAAACAGGAGAACGGTTCCCACAGGCAGGTCCTCTGGGACCTTCACACTGTTCAGGGCTGGGATGCAGCGCGGGGTGTTGTCATTTACATCCTCTAGAGCTACAAAGAGATCCGTAACTGAGAACAGCTGGTAGCCTGTTCTGGGTTGGTCCCTAGCTTCTACTTTCAGCACATAGCAAGGCCATAGTTCTCTATCGAGAGCACCTGTAACAGTCACTTCTCCAGTGACACTGTTAATGACAAACTTATCAGTGGGGGTTAGGAGAGAATATTTTATTCTCCCATTATCATCTGTATCAGCATCTTCTGCTTTCAGCTGCGCTATTGTTGTTCCTGTTGCTACATGTTCTGGTATCATCACCCAGTAGGCAACTTGTGAGAACTTAGGAGTGTTATCATTGATATCCAGCACATTCACAGCCAGGAGCTTCCAAGATGATTTTTGTGGAGTGCCAAGATCGTACACAGTAATGTTCAGAATGTAGAAGCTGTTTTTTTCATGATCTAAAGGAGAAAGAACTTGAAGGAGACCAGTTTCCAGGTCAATGGTAAAGCAACTGTCGTCATTTCCATCTGAGATCACATAGACCAATTTCCCATTAAAACCAGTATCAGGATCAACAGCTGAGAGGTCAGCAATAGTTGAATTGATGGAAACAGTCTCTATGATATCAATAGATCGTGGAAAGCTATCATCAAACTTTGGAGCATTATGGTTTATAAGGTGCAAATTCAAAGATGTCTCATCCTCCTGTCCGTGGCCTTGAGATTGAGACTCAATAGAGTGTATGATAGTCTCTGTCAGTTGTTTCAATACTCCTGTTTCCTCACACTGCATTTTGACTGGGAGACCTTGGTTGACCACAGAGATATTTACTGATATTGGCAAGGCATAGTTCTCTCCATCTGTTGCAGTTATTTTCAAAGAGTAGAAAAGTGGCTGCTCAGGAGGAAGATCTCTGAGAGAGATTCTGAGGGAAATGACTCCAGAGACAGGATTCAGTTCAAAATGCCGTAGCTCATTGCCAGACTTGATTTCATATTTGATATGTTGCAGCTCGTCACTGTCAATTGCAGATACTGTGGCCACAGGGTTCCCAACAGGAAAGTCCCGAGGGATGGTGCCACTGCAGCCTGCTTTCTCAAACATGGGAGCATTGTCATTGATGTTGCTGAGCATGAGGGAGACGAACACTTCCGTTTCATGGCGGAAGGGTGAGCCCCAATCTGATGCCCACACTCGCAGATGATACCATCTCTGCATTAGCTCATAGTCCATTGATTTGGAGGTGGAAATAACGCCAGAATATGGATCAATGACAAAGGGAACTGATTTCTGGTTAGCTATGGTGTAGGTCACAAAGCCATTGTCTCCTTCATCTTCATCTGTAGCCCTTACTGTTAAGACACTGGTACCAGGAGGAATGTTTTCATCAAAGGTCCCACGGTATGAAGACTGACTAAAACTTGGAGCATGATTGTTGCAGTCAGTGAGGTCAATGACAACAGTTGTAGATGTGTGGCTGTTAGTAGTTGTAACTTCAAGTTCAAACTGAGATTGCTCGTGGAAGTCCATTGCTCTGACTGTAGTTATTAGCCCAGTGTGAGGATTGATTTTAAAGCCTGTGCTGTCAGGAGTGGGTCTCAAAATATATTTAAGATTTGGGAAGACTGGTGTAATCTTTACCATAGCAACTTGGCTTCCAGGTGGGGAAAATTCACTGAGCTGGACCCGGTACACTTCTTTCTCAAATCTGGCAGAGACATACTTGGAAGGAGGTATATGGATAACTCTAACAGGGGAGAAAAGTGGTGGTTTGCTCTTGTCCTTGGCTTGAACGCTGAGATTGAAGCCAAAAGGATAAAGTAGCCAGTTGACATCTTTGGTTGAAATAATCATGAACTCATTGCTCCCAAAGTAAGATCTGATAGCTTTGAAATGCCTTCCCACATCTCCGTCCACTAACTCCACTGAATCTATCCCTGTGTTGGAGTCACCACTTTCTACAAGCAGTGTTACATAGCGAAGATCTTCAGCTAAGTCAGGTGGTGTCACCTTCACTGAGGAGATATAGGGAGGCTTCCTGGCAGATGGCTCCACTTGGATCGTGAGACTAGCCAGGTTCCCAAAGCCATTACCCTCTGTGATCTTTCTCATTCTGTCCACAGCCAAAACTTGCAGGTGATGCCTACCTCGATGGGTGCTGTTCAGCCTACCTGTGGTCATAACCACTCCTGTGGTGGGGTGGACAGTGAACAAGTCGGTCTTGGTGGTGAATGCATAGTAGAACTCTGCATTCTGGCCAGCATCAGCATCCGTGGCACTGAGTGTGCCAATCACTGTTTTCATAGGAGTGTCTTCTCTGATGGACACTTTGTAGGAAGGGGGTGAAAAGAGAGGTTTTAAGTCATTTCTGTCCAGAATGTGGATCAAGACTTTGGCCCAAGCTTCATATGCAAAGTTACTCTCTGTGGCCTTGATTATTAACATGTAATTATCTTTGACTTCCCGGTTTAAAAGTGCTGTGTTGCTGCTTCTGGTTCTTATTCTCAAGAAGCAGAAATCCCCGATCACATGTTCCTCAGTTTTAAAGAGACCAGAGTTGTCCCCAGATGCTATTCTATATCTGATGTCCCACTCAGGATCTGTCTTGTAAATACCCATTTTGACATAGCTCTCCACATAGGTCTTGGGAGCCGAATTTTCATAGATAGTGGCATTATAGAAGAAGTAGGTGAAATGCAGAGGGGAAGTGTTGCCTTTCTCAGAGTTTGCCTCGCGGGCCATGCAGTGCATCAGGAAAACAGCAAAACTCAGGAAGTGCCTCTTGGTAGTGACTTCCATGGTGTGGTGCCTCCTTGGGTCCTGCAGGGAATAAAGGAAGAACATTTGTAATTCTGGCACATATGGAGCGGGGACATTTTTGTTAGGCCTACTGTGTAAAAGTCCCATGGAATCAGTCTTTGCCTCTCCACTCTCTCCCTTCTGTCCTTTGCTGCCATGGTTGTTAGCGTAGTGCATTCTCCTTTCTGTCCCATTGAGACGTCTTTCCTGACACAGCCCCTCAATGTCCCACAGGCCCATTCTCACTTTCTCTCCCTCAGTTTTTGCCCTGTAGAGATTCTCGCTGTGAAATGCCATGATCAGTCTGAGTTCCTATTTTTCAAATAGTTTCTCCCTTCCTTCAGTTATGCCTTCTCCCTAGTCAAATTGTACATTTGAACTCCATAGGCCTAATCCAAAACTGACCTCCTGTGTCCATCTTCACTTGTCTCCCCACAAAGCTCCTGCAAATCATTTTCAAGAACCAATTGACAAACTGTGACTTGATTTCTCTTAGCTTTTCTTCCCTTTCCTCTTCCCCTTCTTTTCTCCTCCCTGGAAGAGATGCAGAAGTTTCTGTCCTAACTTCCCACATCGTGAAAGTCCCTTCTATAAGGCCAATTCTGTAACAAGGCCTTTTCAACAGTTCTAGTTCAGGCCCTAATCAGTGGTGTCTCAAGAAAAATTCCTCTGATCTGTAGGCCTGACTCTGGCCTCCTGCTTTATTTTACTTTAAAGATCAGGTTTCTAGCAAATCACTTTGACACCTTCCTTTTTGAATAATTTTTCTGATTCCTCCCTTCTCATGGACAATCTCCAGGGTCC